ATTTTTGTTTTCTTTTTCATTATTTAGAATTTGTTTGATGGTGATTTGTTTATTTTTAATTTATAATAACTAAGTCTTATGTACAGAAGACGAAATAAGGGGCTTAATTTCAAAACGCTTATTAATTTAAGGGTTATTCAAGGGTTTTGTTACTAATAGTGGAACATTTTAAAACGATCGGCCAAAAATAGTCACCTTTTTTAATCTCAATTAAATATTGATTAAATGTACTTTAGGGTTTGGAATTAGACAAATTACTTACATAAAAGCTACTGTTAAACAAACATTATACATTATAGATACTCATCCTTATGTAAAACTTTGCTTTATGTAAAATTTTTATGGTTAATTTTTAATTTATTTAAACCATTATTTGGTTTAAAATTTCTAACCAAAAAATAATAATTTATAGTTGTAATTAAATAAAATAGTTTTTATTAACTATTATTTATAAATGAGAGTTTTGAATAGGGCAAAGTTTTACATAAAATTAAGCGACCATAATATATTATTAAATTAATACAATAATAACATAATTAATAGTTTTGTATCAATAATAGTCAATGTTAAACTAATAATTTCAAATGGATAAGGTGAACTAAAAATTAATTACCATTATACTTTTAAAAAACGCACCACATTTTTTCTTGGACGTTATGTTCGAAAAAGAATGACAATAAGAAGATAGGTTTGTATTTTTAAAAAATATATTTTGTCTTAAAGGTTCAAAACCATTTTAACAACAACTCGGATTACTAATTACAACAAGGGAGTGGTGGAGCAGAATTCATGGTAACAACAAATATGCTGGAAATTATGTGAATAATAATTATTGATGGCTTAATATAATAAATAATTTTGTTTTTATATAATGTTTTTTTTATTAATTCAATAATACTAATTTATTATTTTAAATAAACCAAATAGTTTAAATTATTATATATTTATTCTGTTATCAAAATAAAAAAAATATTTAAACTATTAAATTACTATATTTTTATTATACTTTGTTTATTTTTTATATATTTTGGAAACCCTTAAATTAATAAGCATTTTCAAATTAAGACCCTCATTTAGGCCACTGTATATTATTACAAATAATTTAAAATGAATTATAATCTTTATTAAGTTTAATATTTTTATTAAAAATAACAAAAAGCTTTTTATTTTCAAATTATACAACTAGTTTATATTAATTATAATTATCTATGAAAAATTGGCATAAGGTGTAATGACCACACTAAATTTACTGTTTTGTTCTATAAATTTACATAAAAATGTCAATATTTTCATTATTATTAAAAACCGCCTACATCAGTCTAAAATTGTATAAATTTGCGGGCACTTGTGATGTTTTAAGAAAATTCGTTATTCTTGGAATTTACAAATTGAAGAAAACCATTAATATAATAATTGTTTTATTATTTTTTATAGCAAATTAAAACAAAAACATTTATTTTTATGGAATAATTTCAATTTATGTATTTTTTATTAAATAATTATTTAACTATTATATACTAAAGTAAAGAGGTTTATTATCAGCATATTGTTTACTATATATTATAGTTTAATTTTATTAAATTATTAGATTATTAAATAATGTATATATCCCAGTTTTTAAAGCATTATATTTATTGTCTATTAATATCTATAATTATTAACATTAATAATAATTATTATTAGTTTTAGTTTAATAAAAGAAAAAAAATTACTACTAATTATAATTATTTATATAATATATTTACTACTCGCAGGTTTATGATTTATAATATTTTACTAGTGATTGCATTTAATTAATAAATAATTACGGCACTTATATTTAAATGGTAATTTTAAAAATGATTTTGAATTTTTTGGGTTAAAAATCTTCCCATTGTTTAAATGAAATTCA